TCTAACTACTAATAATTATGCTTCTTTCGGTGTGATTTTTTTGATTCTCTGAGAAAATTCATATGAATGCCTCATTGTGTTTAACGATCTATCGTTTAGCTTCTTGAATTTCGTGTTAATGAACTTTGTCAATTTGTGTACTTATTCATATTTGTTAGGGACTATCAGCCTTAGTGATTCCCCTTCTATGTTTAGCTTCTGTAATCCGTAGGCTGATAGTATTCGTTCATCTTTTTTTATTAGTGAATTTATTGTTCATCTATTGATCTCTCTGTTCTGTATATCCCTCATCATCTGACAAAGTTTAATTTATCTTCATGGTTGGGTCCTTAGTACACGATACGAGGTCTTGTCTCGCACTTTACATTCCATCTTCTCGATTCATTGTTTTCTGTTCGTTACAACTGTCGCTCCTTTGTCCGCACGAAGGACCAATTGTTCATTCCTTTATATGGTTCTACGTATCTTTGCGAATCTGTTCATGTGCGTCGATTTATAATGTATCAATATTCTAGGGGTCATTTCTATCTCCATTTCTTGTTTTGTCTCAGCGAACTTGTCGGAGATATTGACGTCACCAGAATGTCTTCTACTAGATTTCTCCCATCTTAAAGATAAAAGTTTAACATTTTTTTAAGATCAAGAGGAAGTCAGGATAAATTCACCATTTCGATCGTCGTACTGCTCAATGGATATAGTCATCTCGGAAACCTTGACTGGTCGCACTGGCCTTTACTTACGTTATCCTGTGATTCAATTACTAGACAATTTATTGTGTATTTTTGTTATTAAGTCAGAGATCCTACATGGTTTGTTGTCTGCCGTACTGTGGATTTTTTGAAAATCTTCCGAAGCTTTGACTTAATATCTATAAATTTAAGTAGCTTATTTCTCTCCATATCATAGGCTTAGGTTAACTTCCGAATAGAGGCCTGGCAAAGAATCTCATTAACCCTATTTTAATGAAAGTGTCCCTTAATGTTAAATAATCCAGGAGTTATAACATAGCATTTACAACTGTTTAAAAAGGTCAGGTGACGTGGTTGACTTACAATTATCTTTTTGTCAGGCAATCTTACTAACATAATTTAAACATAGATATGAAGACCAATATGTTGTGACCTCTAGTTTAGTCGCAGTCTCCTTTCGATGTATACAATTGATCTAATCTTGTCTTCGAAACCTAGTCATATTGGACGCGCCTTGCCTAAAGTCCTCTTACATATTAGTTTTCATAATTACTATTGTCCACCGTGGACTTGGTACATTCCCAGGCGTTTCGCCGGCATCGTCCGTGAGTCTCCCAATCTCAGTACCAAGCTACGACTCGTTAAAACAAAAAATGAAGTAAATATTCTCAACAACTTTCTGCCGAAACAGTTGTGCTATTACTCTTCTTTCTGTCCTGGCCTATCTATCTACTCCCTATCCTCATGTCTCATTAGAGCCCTATCACAAATTCTGAATTCTTTACATTCATCCTCCAGAGGTTTGTCCTTTTTTGGCGAGTTTGGCATGGCCATATCACATATGCTGTTTGCCTTGCTCCCCTTTCCCCCTCGATTTCCTGATCCAACTCAGATATGCTTCATGATTGACCTACTTCATTCGGTTCTAGTCCCAGTATACGTACATAGTTCAGACGGTATTTCTCAAGCCTTATATCTGTAAGCATGGGATCCAGAACCTATTCGTTCTGCAGGCGAGGCCACTTTGTAAGTGGTGCTGATGGCTTAAAAAATAGAGGTTGGAGTAAAACGTACACTGTGACCGGAACCCAGTGAAATCGGTCAACCAGAAAGATAAGAAATCGATCTACGGACCCATGAGGGAGATCCAGATAGGAGGTCCGAGTCGGATAAGCAAATCGAGATGAAGGGGAGGCAAGACAAACAGCAGGTGTGATGGCGCCACGATAAACTGGCAAGTTGTTAAAGGGCGAGAGTGTGAAAAGATGGTAGGGTGTAGGTAGGTGGTCCATGCCAGGACAGGACAACTGTTTCGGCATAAAGTTGGTCAAGGCATTTACTTCACTTGCCCCTGACGACTTTCAGCTTGATGCTAAGACTGGCAAGATGCATTTACTATGCCAGCGCAACGTCTGGGAATTTACTAAGTCCACGGTCTGATTCTGGGAATTATGATAATTACTATGGAAAATGACTTCAGATAATGCGCGTCCAACTATGTCACCCTGATGACATGATCAAGTTGCGAAAAGGAGTTCAGACCACTTATGATTTTATTATTCCATAACCCTAGGCAATATGACGAAATTTTGTCCTTTAAATTACTCACGTTTTCGCGTTCGTTTTCGTCTATGATTTGAAACTATTCTCTTTATCCTCTTGAATAAACGGAGCATCAGGACAATATTGAGTCTTACTAAGCATCTGTTATGCTTATTTCTCTTCACTAGCCACTCCTCCTTATCTTCCTCCCGTTGGTGACATGGATGATGTTTCCAATTTCTCTGGTGGTGGCTCACGATCGCGCGATGACACCATTTTTGAGGTTACTACAAACCGCACATTTTCTCCTTCCACTATGGCTAAGCAACAACAGTTACTTCAGGCAAACGCGACAGTTCGATGCGTTTCAACAATCGGCGCTATAACCAGACTTAGTGGGCAGACCGAAATTGCATCTATTCTTTCTGAGGCAAACAATCACAACGAAACTTCAGTGTCGCACTCTCTCGAAAACCTACCAACTCATGGACAGCCTGCTTCCCCTTTTAAGCCTATAAGCTCTGGAGTAGTAACTCTTACTCCAGTAATGGAAACTACGTTGGAGGCCGTGGGAGACTCAGGAGTTTCACAAATAGAAGCTAAGCGGCGCGCCTTGCAAACCGCTGCTGCACAACAGTCAACGGAAGAGATTGAGGAGATTGCAGACGTCGAATGGCATGGACCACCTTATGTTCAGGATCTGCCCTTTATCGGATTTTCGTACACCCCGGGCCTAATCCAATTCTGGCGTAATAATATTGCCAACGTAACATCTGCTGGTGGCACTGGACAAATTGGCGCTCGATCTTTGGGTCTTTCGCAACTTGCCAGAACGTGAGTGTCATCTTTTTTTGTTGAAGCCACAATAATCTGATAACACTC